TCGGAGCCCTTGTCGAGTAGTAGCATCGCGATGTCTTTACAGCCTTTAGCTAAAGCCGCCTGCAGTGCGTTGCCGTAGTGTCCACCCTGCGCGTTGACGTTGGCGCCTTTGTCAAGCAGCAGTATTGCTATCTCTTTGCTGCCACTAGCTGAAGCTGTATACAGTGCGTTACCGTGGCGTGCACTCGCATCGATGTCGCTATTCCCTTCCAGAAGCACTTCAATCACCTCTTGGTGACCCTGTTCGATTGCTACAGACAACGGAGTCTTGCCGTCCTTACTCTTGCTGTGGACCATGGCAGGGTCTGCCGTAAGCAACAGCCTCACTGACGTCTCACAGCCATTCTTAGAAGCCCACCACAGCACGGTCCTATCTCTCGAATCTTTCGAATCAAGCCTGAATCTCCCCAATCTGATCAAAAGCGCAAGAATCCCGTCGTGCCCTAGCTCTGCCGCATTCAGGAGATAATCTTTTGCCTTCGAGTACTTGAAGTCACGTCTTGCAGTGCGCTGACCCGACTTGCGCGTAGACTGTTGTTCACCTTCTGCCGCGACAGGGTTGCTGTCGGCTTGCGGCACCTCGATAGCCTCCAAAAACGCTACCACAGCCTTCTCGCTGCTCGTAGCTGCTGCAGCAAAAAGAGGACTGCCGTAGCGCTCTGCCTCAACGTCCATGCAGCAGCTAGCTGAACCGAGGACTCTAATAAGGTTTGCCATATCCAGCTCAGCCAGCAGATACAGCAGGCTGACGCGCTCCGTGTGTCTGCGCACCTCGTGCTTCTCGAAAACGTTGTCGAGCTTGACCCATCGAATAAGCGGGAAACTGTCGAGAAAGTCTGCCTGCGACATGCCTCCGCCTTCTGCTGTGTCTGCGTGATACAGCACGTTGTGGACGGCGTACTCAAAAAAAGGAAACATTTCTGTTGCTGATTCACGTAAGTCGACTGCCTGCGGCAAAGACGCTTTTGGAAGCCGATCGGGAATCTGCAGAGGCGTGGCAACGTCGATGCTGATGTAGTCGAGGCAGCACTGCTTGAGCCGTTCATGACTCTGGCCATGGAAATTGCTCCCATACTCGGGCCAGACCTTGCCGAGGCCATTCTCTTTCAGCAAAAAGTCCCTAACTGACTCGTGTATGAACTGGACCCTCTGCACCTTGGACTCTATGACCTCAGCGAGACCTTTAGAAGAGTTGAGAAGGAACCTTTCGATGACATCCTTTGAGATCTCTTCAGGATCCCATTTTGCTATCGCCTCAGGATCAGTGCCCGCGTAAATGGCATGGTACAGCTGTTCTGGACTCAACGGCTGCTTCGCGAAAAGTACCCATTGGATGCACAGCACCAGCTCGGCTTTGTCGTGTGAGTCCCGCGTCAGGATGTTGCGGAACAGCTTGTGCAAGTCGCCGGGGATCTCCCGTAATTTCTGTCGGAGCGTGTGCACCTTGCCGCGATCGGACTCTTTATTGAGGATGCCTACGACAAGTACAACCCACATGAAAATCCCCGACGCCTTCTCTTGAAGCTCTACTCGGACCTGCTGTTCGATCTTGCTCTTCCCGATCTTCAGCTCCGTCTCCACGTAGTTGCTGATGTCCTGTGAGTGTCCCTTTTGTCCCTCTAACACCAGCTCCAGCCCGTGCCGGATCGTGACGTGCGGGTAGTGCCTGCTCGAGAAGCACACCTGGAAGCGGATACCGTTCGACACTGCGAGTTCGACGATGCGCTCGAAGAACTGGATCATGTCCCGAACCTGCTCCTCTTCACACTCATCAAGCGCATCGATGAAGCACACAGCAGATGAGTTTTCCAAGCTCTGGATGGCTTCCTCCAGCAGCATCTTCAGCGTCTCAATATTCCACTGGTGATCTGCGGTGAGCTTCGATGTTGAAAGCCCAAGCGAGTCGAAGACGCTGTGAAGCGCCGGCAGATGCTCGAGCAGCTGCAGCAGCAGCGACCGGTATGTTCCGGTTGTCGACTTCTCTATCTCCTCGCCGCGCGCGTTGAAGAAGAAAGAGAGCACAATGTGGTCCTTCATAATCTTGCGAGCATTGACCAGCGCATACTTCATTAGCGTCGACTTGCCCGTCCCGGCCTTGCCCTTGATCCACAAGAAGCCGTGGTGTTCTTCTAGCTTAGTTGTATCGAGCCAGCTGACGTATTCCTTGCATTTCAGGAGCCATTGGCACGTCTTGGCGTGGGCGGTCTTGATGGTCATCTGGCGCGCATCGATCTGGTCAAATCTCAGAGATTCTAGAAGATTCTGCCTCTGTTCAGCATTCAGCAATGTTCGTGATGGTTGTGAGGCTTCCTGAGGGTGAATAGGAACTAGCATAGTCAGAACAAGTCGCGTTCGCATCTCAGCACGAGAGATGTACGTACCAGTTCGCTGCCTGTTATCGTCAGCGGAGCTGAAGTGGTGAACTGTCTTCTAAAAGCATGCTCGACTTACATTGCAGAACTACTTTGCGGGCTACCAGATCTGCTAGTCTTTGTGCGCTTGTTGGGAGCTTGATCAGGAGATGCTGGCGGCAGGCAACGTTCTAGCACCACGTCAATTCGAAGTTATCTTCAATAGCAACACCGTTGATAAACTAACTATCCCCGTTGCGCATGGCATCCACTACACGGCTTCCCTTCATCACCGTTGGTGGCGGTATCGCCGACAGCAGCTCCTTCGCATACGCTGCTGCCGTCCCTGACGCATACTCCTGCCACTTATAGTTCTTGTGTGAGTCGGCGTAGTCGGAAATGCCGCGGATGACGAGACACGGGAAGCTATTCATCAGCCCCGCTGCCTCCATCTCAAAGCACAAAACCCCACCAAGCTCTGCACTGACTCTGTCCCTCTCAGCAGCGTCCTTCATCACCTGATTGCCAGACGCGATTGTGCCGTAGTGTACCGTCACCTCTGCTCCGCTCTCGCGTTCTTGTCGTGGCTGCCGAGCTTCGACGCTACACTGGTCGCACGTGTCACCGCGTACGTGGTTGTAGGCCGCTTTGAACAGAAGATCGGGCCCTGCTTTAAGCCGCTGGAAATCGGGGTAGCGTTCGAGTTCTGATAGGTAGTCTGACAGCGTACTCCTGCCCAACGTTTTGTTCGCCCGAATGCCGGTCACAGCGCTGAGCAATATCTGAGGTGGTGCGTTCAGTGACCCAATCCGCTCCAGCCCACTCGGCGTCCTTCTCCCAAAATCATACTGAACCACTCCACCGAACCTCCACTCCGGCTGGCTCACCACCACATCGCCAAGTCGGATGTCTGCCTCTGCGCTGGGAACGCCTCCGCCGATGCCCACCATCAGGCCGAACCGGATGCCCTTGAACGCTGCACACATCTGTGTTGCCACAGTTGCGGCTGAGTTAGTTCCAATGCGGCCTGCTGGTAGGCACCCGATCACAACGTTGTGGCCAGCGACCGATCCGAAGCAGTATACGTTGTCCTCGCTATCGCTGGTTTCGAGGGCGGCATATTCGTGCTCCTCGTCGAGCATCGCCCGGGCCGCTGCCAGTTCGATATGCAGCGCACACACCCATCCTACGGTGTAGTCTTCGCGGCGTAGCCGGCGTGGCATTTAGGATAGAGGAGAAATGGACGAACGAGCGTGGGCAGTCGACGCTTGCGAAGGGAAAGGAGTAATCACAGTTTCGCAGCAGCAGCGCTGTTGATAAGCTGTTGTCGCTCAGCCTCAGCCTTGTGGCCGACGCTGCAGCCTGTCGCCTACATGTTGACATGGTGCACAAATCGTGAGTGGTGCGGCTGGTGCTGTCGGGGCACAGCTATAAGCGCGGACTGGCAGTGGGGCGGAGTCGGCTCGTTCGTCAGTCGTTTGCCTATCATCCTGCAGCTTAGCAGATATCTTGCTTGCAGTTATTAGAGCAGGCTGTACAATAACTTTACTCTACCCTACATACATGTATAGCTAGTAATGCGCAATATTATAGCGCGTAGCCTAGTTGCCACACAAAAGCAAAGGGTAGAGTGCACCGAAGGTCGTGATCAGCCTGGCAGGGCGCTGGCGAGGCAGTGGGTTGAATACTCGATGACTTAGATGGGCGTAATACTTCCTTCAGTTTTGCTTCTATCGCTAAGCTCTGTATCTAGCTAGATTAATCTACCCCAGCGCGGCGATTCAAACCCTGTAACCATCACTCCGCGCTTGCCGGGACATTGGAAACGAATACCGAAAGAACAGCAGCGTACCCAGCAGACACCGCCATCATCTCGAAGCTCGACACCTTCAGGAAGAGCGATACGAGGAAAGACAAGATGATGATACACACCGAAACGACGACGAGCTGTACTTTCTTTGACGACTCGTTCGACATGATGGCCAACGGTGCAATAATGAAGACCGCCGTCAGCGCTGCAGTCGTCACACGTCCGATGACCTCGGCCAGCAGTATCGTGTTCTGGTAAGTCCACTGCTGCTGTTTACCAGCTATCGAACCAAGGCCTTCGCTGTTGTTCTTGGCCTTTCGCGACAGTTTCCAGTAGCGGAAGGCCCTCAAGTACTTGTGGAGCCAGCGCTGGAACGGGTCGGTCCGCAATCGAGTCCCTAGGTCCACTCTAAGCAGTCTAGTCTTTTGCGCTTCGTACAGACTAAGATCATCCCGCAGGCTAGCCTGTTGCTCGTCATCGAGAAGCGAAAACGTCTCCATGGTCATGACGTTGTTGAAGGCAGCGAGTGCTTCGTCTGTATGCATGGTATCTGTCAGCGCAAGGACTAAGAGCAGAGCTACTAGCACACACTGTACTGTTTGATGAGGTCACGTAGCTTCAGAATGAAATCTCGGGTGATCATGTCGTCGACCTTTGGAACATTGGCGTCTCTCTTGCTGTGCGCAAGGCCAAGTCGGTCGATTGGTGACGGACTCAGACCAAGGCTGAGACCAGCTTGATATACTGTACGATCCATGTGGGCGATCTCGTTCTCGAGGAGCCGCAAGTTGAGCAATTGCGTAGTCTTGAAGCGACGAAAGCCATGGAGTGTGAGGTTGTTGTCCGCAGTGCTGGCGACCCAGCACGCACGAAAGGCGCTGGCCAGGTCTGTGCGGCCTGAAGTTTCGTGGACTAGAGGCGAAGTAGACATGGCGATTACAACGTAACAACTTTGAAACAACTAAAGTGGTAAAATTGCCGTGAAGGCCGCCGATAATAGGGACAAAGAGGTTATGAATTTAACAAGTCTATCTGTATGTGCGCGGTAGCGTGTGGGCAGAAGGTCTTGATGGGTGAGAGTATCATCCTCGCAGCAAGAGTGAGAGCTGGGACACTAATCTTTGCAGATCCACACATGTTTTGAGATATAAACCGTCGTGTCAAGCGAAATAGGCGACACGCCACGTACAGCGGGTCCTCGATTCAACGCCTCACTGGCATCCCGCTAGGCTTACAGCACACAGCTCTCGCAGCACACGACTGCTGGCTTCTAGCTCACGACTCCCGGTACATGGCTGGCGCGCAAGCGATGCAGCGCAGGGCAGGGCAGCTCCGCTCAGCCTGGCGAGATACCTCGACCAGGCTGAGGTGGAGACTGCGACCAGGCTGAGGCGACCACGGCTTATTCGTGCGCTCCCATTTACAGAGCACACTGCGACTTCTTTGCTCGTGTGTAGCGCCCAGGCTACGCACTATGCTTTCACGCATTACTACCTATATATATACGTAGGGCAGAGTAAAGTCCTAGCCTGCTCTAATAAATGTAAGTAAGAGACATCACCGAACTATGGTTTGAGAGGACCAAGCTTTGGCCGAAGCAGCAGCTAGAAGCTGATCAACAAGTAAGTAAAGTAGTCATATCTAATCCATTACAGACTGCAGGTGACGCACCACCCCAACAATTGAGCAACTTCCGCAAGGCGAGTCTTCAATTTCCGTACGAGTAGGATACAAGGCTTACAATGCATTCTTGACTTGATGGCTGGGAATGGGCCCACTGGGAAGGTGCTTTGGCCTGTCGCTCTTGCATTGCGTATGCAGTCCCTCCCCTGGTCAAGTCTCGAAGGAAAGAAGCTATCCATAATTTGATATTTTGAGAATTTCCTGTTAGGGAGGTTAGATTGTTGAGGTATGGATGTCGACTATAAGCTTTGATAGGAGAGGAAACAATCGTGCCACCAGAAGGCCAAGCGTTGAACAGGAAGAAGTCATGCTGTGCGCTACCTCGTAGCATCATGAAGCACAGCCACAAGCATCACAGCCACAGAACGCACAAAATTGATGACAGAGGATAAATTGCAATACATAACATGCTTGGATTATCTAACGCGAGCCATTCCCGGTCTCAAGTAACGCGGAAGTACCGAGCGGGGTGAGCTGTCCATTCGGTCTGCTAAGATGGCAGGAAGATGCGTGTAATTTTCTACTCCAGGAGTTCTTAGGTGCTTGCAAGTACTCATACTACCATACCCATTACTGGAGAAGCAGATATCGGCGAGAGCGTAAAGATTTTTGTGTTTGAAGTGTAAGTACCCCTGTAGTTTTTCGTTTCATAGAGTTTTCGTGTCGTAGGGACGGACATTACAGGCGAGGTCCTGGGTGAGACGGGGGTAGACGAGCGTTATTTCGGTGTGCTTGTTGGCGTCCAAGAACGTGTCATGACATGCAGGTATCAGACACGGGAGCGGTGCCAGCGGCTGCGACTAAAAAGGGATGCAAGTCAGTCGTCTTAGAACAAGATTGGGATTGGGAATCGGATTGGCTTACCGGCGGCCGTCGACTGCAACAGGGTCACGGCGCACTTTATGGTAAACCCACACGCCCTGCTGAATGGTCAGAAACTTTGCTTTTGTTGACAAAATGTGACGGAATGCGATGTGCACTTACCAGCAAGAACGACACAAACCAGAAGATGGCGGAGAGGAAGCTAAAAGCCTGCATTGCTTTCCATTGACCACAAAAGTTGTTTCGAAACCGTATTCCAGACCATTCGAAAGTTCCACCACAAGATCCATCAAGGTAGTTGACGAGAATCTAGACATGGTCAGTAAACATGATGTTGACACGGAAATGTTGCAGAATGGGACTTACTCCGAAAACTGCGAACCATGCAGCCGACATAATGAAGTCGAAGGGGTAGTGCAGCATGCTGCTCACGGTGGGGATCAGCCAGAAGAGAGAGAACAGGACCGATATGGATGCAATGATGATCGAATAGATCAAGCGTCCGAACGGACCGCCAGATCCATGCTCATGCTTGTCAAGGAAATAGGCAGTGAGGCCCAGGACGACGGCTGCACAGACAAATTCCGCAAAGCGAAGGAAAATCGATAGTACCCGGGAGATGATCATCTTGATCGGTGGTGTATAGGTCCGGGTGCTGTGTTGAGAGTATTGGTATGTCTTACAGCTTTGGTGCTGTTAGGTCGACTTATGGTAGCAACTATGGAGAGGCGCAAATGGCTGTTACAACAAACGAATGGGCGAACAAGTAATTAAGCACGGTTGGAAGAGCGTTTGATAGTGGATCTGCCAGCCCTATTTGAATTCTTTGTCCAGACCACTACGTCAGTCCCAATCTGAGCCACGTAGTGGGGTCTCTTGGAGCACAAGGCAGGGTTGACTGTGACTGATGTGCTGGCCAAAGCTTCTGGTCCTGTTTTCTTCCCGTCTGCGATGCATACGCAAATGCTTCACAAGTAGTACATTACGACGCCATCTGATTCGATGGCTGTGTTGCAGCTTGGCTGATGAGGTCACGGCTCCTTGGATGAATCGTGAAACCTGGCTAGAAGCGTCCAAGCAAACGACAGTAAAGTTTACACAGACGGTAAATTGACCATGTTCTTGGGATACGCTATGATCGTGACCAATGATGATTGACGCCAGGCATATTGAATCAGGAGAGATGGGCGCAAGCAAGGAGTTGTTTGGCCGGGGGAGACGTGTGCTTGTGATCAGGTCGCAAAAAGCATGGATGAGCAGCCAGGAGTTGGCGAATCAAAGAAAGAAGAGCCGACAGCCGAAAGGGCGTGGAGATCACGTACAAGGGCTGGCACGGACGTTTTAGAAAGCGTTTGTAGATGATGATGATGATGATGGTGGTGGTGGTGTGAATGTTTACCTTGCAAAGATTCAAAAAAAACCGGTTGTCGTGAAAAATTCCCCAGCGCAGGGTTGGACGTGGTCAAGCTTTGTTCTGAAGCCGATAGAGCCTAGTGGAATAGGCACACGTGCGCGAAGACCCCATATGCCAGCCATACACAGTATCCACACACACACGCGTCCAAAAGGCGAAGTTCCATTTTCTATGTATAACTACTATTCTTACATACATCGTACTCGTACAAGTCTGTTCATACACGTCACGTTGGTTCCGATTATTCCGGTTCCGATTATTCCGCCTCTGCCAGCATCCTGATGATAGTTTTCCCCTGACGTTCCTCATCTGCTAACGTATAATGAGTCTCGCCCTTCCAAGTCTTCAGTACACTCCCTTTGAGGCGCTCATGCAAGTACCGAGCCATATGAACAGGCGCAAGGTCGTCATCCTCTCCGTACCATAGGAAGACATTCTTGGCATCGATATCTTCTAATTTGAAATCCCACGAGTGACCAAGGATCTGAGTATCATGCGCATACCCATCTGTACCCTGTCGAAAGGCCTCTTTCAGCGCTTCCACACTGTCCTTCATGCTCTGTGGCTTTTCGAGGAGCTCAAGCTCATCTTCTCGTAGGCCCCTGAAAAAGACTCTGCGTATCAAGTCTTCCATGGCTTTTGGATCAGGGTCCTGGGCAGCTTTGCCAAAGTACGGCTGGGACAGCGTTCGCAGAAGCCATCTGGACCTGGGTGCAATGTACCACCCGATAGCCTGCGACCAATTCATTCCCGTTCGTCCAGCTTCCAGAGGTGCGCCGCCATAAAGCACTCCCGTCGCCTTCAATCTGTCTTTAGAGAGAGCGCGGGCACAAGACAGAGCATACGGCCCGCCGCCGCTCTCACCGATGACTTTGAACTGATCGATTCCGAGATGTTCGGCCAGACTTGTGACGTCTGAAGGCCAGTCCATCAATGTGCGTCCCTCTTTCGGAGTCGAAAGACCTATGCCTGGTCTATCGATTCCGATGAACCTTAGCGTCTTGCTCTCGTCCAGACCCTCTAGGCGCCGAGCATCGATGCGCGATCCTGGAAGTCCGTGGAAGTAGAACACAGGATCTCCATCTTCTGGTCCGTAGGTCGCAAACCCTAACGTGCGATCGTCCGGGAGTGTGATCGTTTGCGATTCATTGGCTCCCAATGTCTGCCATGTCGATGCTTGTCGACTTAGAGGCGAGGCCTTTTGTGCGAATCCGGTGAGGCGAAGAGATTGTCGCAATGATGAAAACATTGGGGATTTGGATTGAAGTTGACTTGACCTACGCAGTACTCGTGAGCTCACAATCTGGGGTAAGATAGCTTTGTATATTGTGGGTGCCTGGTAGGCGCATCTGTGTGCCCTAACTAGGACCAAAAGTGCGAGAGGTACAATCCTTCCAACGCTCAGGCCAACCATGATAAGATTGTATTGCGATTTTGCGATGTCCATAGAACAACATGGAATCATTCAAAGTCTAAGCACACGAAGACCATCAATTCTGATTCTCGCATATAATCAGATTCATAGTTGTGATCACCGTGCCTCTGTGTGAAATGAGACCTTCGACAAATCCTTGTAGCGTTGAATGCAGATGCAACGCTTTTGCTAACTAGATGCAAGCTGATCGACTCATATTCAGAAATCGACGGTTAGAAAGATGTTCCTTTTTTAGATCATGGCAAAAGTAAAATAACAAAACAACCGTGATTGCTGTGAGCTTGGTGCTGTCACATGAGGCTGATCGATAGGCACGTGATTGGGGTGAAAGCTGACTGGTGCCCGTATATTGCTCGGCGATGGCCAATAGGATCTCTCCTACCTGGCCGCCGCATGACCACGGAAATGCATAGCACGAAACCTTCCCATTGATGACCTCCCTCGATGAGCGGAAGCTTAAAGGTGTATTCGTATTGCTATCGTGATACGGGCATGGTTTGAATGCATCTACACTTGATGTTTGGCCATGTTCATCTCCCTTTCTCATATTACCTTTCTTTGACAAGAATACAATCAATATTCAACGAAGTGAAGAAACACGAAAGAACTGCAATTCAAAAAGACACGACCTAAACGCAAACCACATGTTGTAGCACGATTCGACAGTCACGCGTACAAAATCCTGACGAGGCTGAAGCATACATATGCTGCGTCATTGCCGTGCCCACGACGACAGTGCAGGCTTCCTGGAGAGCGCACTACGTCCTCTAGAAGTCGTGGTGCTCGGATCCGCGCCATTTGGCGTTCGCTCTACTGTATCGCGTCGGAGCGATTTCAAGGCTGAAGTCGATAGGAGTGGGCTTAGTAGGCGGGGATGGGTACTACAAGAACCCTTCCCTAGCTCGAGGACACAGCACTTAACTGCCAAGTCGATGTTTTTCGAGGACGAGCGTGGAGTGGCCATGGAGGAAGACGCGTTTGATGATGTTGTCTCGAGCTTTGGAGCGTTGTCTCCATTACCAGGCCCTACTTTGCCTATGCTTCGCAGTCCACTTGCTATACCTGTCGCCATTGGCGACGGCAGTTCTACTGCACTTCAGACAAGAGGAGAAAGAGCTCTGGCAATCCGAACCTCCTAGATGAAGCCGCAGAACTGGACGCAGAGCATGTGCCGAATCGCACCCTTCAACCTGGAGTCTTCGGGGGTCTGAAGTACCAGCGTTCGAACTCCTGGAGCGATACTGCAAGGCAGAACTCACATACGAGATGGACAAATTCTCCGCAATATCCGGTCTCGTGAAGGCGTTCCAGGAATACACCGGAGACCGCTTCATTGCTGGTATTCGGGAGGATACCACGTACATTGGCCTACTGTGAGCCGCCATCGATACGCCGTTGAAGCGCCCTCAAAAGGAGCACTTCGCCTCAGTCTTAGAACTATCTCGTCTTCTTTCGTTCATCACCCTCGCTCCAATTTCAGTTTTATCTAATCCTTTCATCCTCTATCTACTCAAATATCCGACCAGAATTCTTGCTACACTAGGACGAGATCCGGACGCATCTTAGGGATTTTTGAGGGATTCTTCACTGCAAACACTAGACAAAAGTGCGGCATGAAAGATGATTTGGTATATTGGGGATAATCATAATCAATTAGGGTATTTAGTTGCTCACTCCTTTCCTGATTTGACTTCTGGGGTCTTTCCATGCATAGCTTTGCCTCTTGTAATCTACACCCTGGAATTCTGTAGAGCTTGCTGGCCTTCCATTCCTTGTAACCTCCAGTAAGCCTCAGGACAGTCCTATCGTAAGTTGAGAAGCCGCCGTCGAACGGCTTATCTTTCCTACCGATTCCCAGAGAGCCAAATCTTCGGGCGATTGGTCTTGGTGGGATGTGTTCGAGGCGCTAGGCACCTGGCGATGGTTAACTTGGAAGAGGGGAGCGTATCGAAATTTGCTTTCGATGGGGACTTTATGGCTGTTTCTCACGAGCGGGGTTGCCGGAACAGACTCAATGCCTCTCTCACGGAGCATTTCGTCCAAAGACAGCTCATGCTTCCACGACATTCCAGGCATTGTACCCCACTTCTCGTACCAGAGACCTCGTTTGACCCATGTACTCTTAACATTCTCATACGCCTTAGTATCATTCCTTGCCGCATCAGCGCCTGCCTCTTCTTCTAGGATTCGTTCACATTCTTTTACCTGATAGACGAACCGATAATATGGACGCGACGCATCGCGTTCACGTTGCCGTAAGGCTCGCCGCTCTGCAATCTGTCGCTTCTCATCTTCGCTTTTCGGTCGTTTCTTTGTCGGCTGCGGCTTTGGACCGAAAAGAAGCTGTGGAATTTCTGCTTCCGAGTCCGTTTCTGGTCCTGAGTCAAGCTCAAGTGGTTCTTCGTGCTTCCAACGTCCCAGAGACAGCAAGTTCCACTTTTCGTTCCAAATACCCTGCTCTACCCAGCACTTCCGAACGGCCTCGGTGGCTTCTTCCCTGAAGATATTCAGGTCCGATATCTTCATTTCTCTCCAACTCGTACTCGGGTCTGCCTTCCAAAGCCGCCTTCTCTCATCTTCAACCTCGGCTTTGAATTGATTTCGTGCTTCTGAGGCTTCGCGCTCCTGGATCAGCTCCTCTCGTCGCTTCTGGCAGAGATACTCTTTTGCAGAAATCGCACTGGCAGACCGAGCCGTCGAACCAAACGAATAGAATGCATATGGTGATGGAGAGTTACTGAACCACTGCATCTCGCACTTAGGTCGAAGTGAATATTCCTCTAATGCTGCTAAAGCTCTTGGAGGCTTGATAAATCCATCTGCGCGGGGGGTATCCGAAAACAACGCCATGAGTGATTGTAGTTGTGTGGTGCGGTCACTAAAAGAATTGTGAGTGTAGGAGTGATAGAGCTTATGAAGTGAATGGTAGTGTATGTGACTACCTAGTTAACTAACCACCTAGCTAACTAACTAGCCAGAAAGACAACTAAGCAAGCACGGGCGATCCCTGTAACGTTCCTTCGCACCTGATTGTCTGTTCCAACAAATCGGAGAAAAGGCTTACTAAATTCACTTTAGGCTTAGCGACAGCGGCTATGATCCAAACGGGCAATCTCAACATCAAGCTTGTTCACGTGATCCTAACTGGTCATTCACTCAAATAACTTCCACACACTTTGTGTTCTCGTACCACGGACCCTTCCATTAACTGTGCGTACCTCTCTGTGAAATCTGCCTCTAGGCATCAACATGATGCACGGATATAGGAATTTTTGGACAAGGTGGCGCGTTCATCAACCGCTCCTTCGAAGTTGATGTTGGCAATAGAGTGAGACGACCATTCCTCTCAGACCCTCACCCACTCCTTTGAACTCTCCAATCGCCGTCACTGATGCAATTGATGGGAATACAGTAAGCTAATCATCCCACTTAGGATTGTTTCTTCACCTTTGGCCTTTGCAACCTTTCCTTCGCCTTTGGCCTAGCTTCCCTTTGGCCTGGCTTCCCTTTGGCCTGGCTTCCCTCTAGCCTTTTTAACCCATTCTATTTGCTCTAGCATGGCACGCCCTGATCCTCATCCTCTTGCCATATTCTCGTTATGTCCCTATTCGGAAAATGAGGGAGCCATGCTTTGCATCAACCATCCGGAAAATTTGCACAATGTTTCAAGGCAACAGAAAGGTGGATACGGTCTCGATGTCGGCTTTCATCTGCCCGGATCATCGAGCGGAACTCTGGCAACACTAGGGCGAGGTATCGGGGTCGACATCTACTTGGCAGGATCGGCAATATCACGTATACAGTGTACGTTCGAGATCGACTTGAATACTGGCTTCATAATGCTATCCGATAGATCGTCAACTGGCTCAACTCAAGTCTTTGGTAATGATGCTCTACCATTCGAGCGCGAACGCCACCAACGGAGAATCCTCGTGCAGGCAAACCTAAATACGAGGATTGGGATCGGCGGCGTGCGACACGATCTCATTCAATTCGAGTTGATGTGGCATCAGGATCCCATGCAAATAACGACCATCATTAAACAGAATCACATCATACTCCGTAGTGTTGCAACGAATCCACGAGTGGCTCGAACGGAGGACGAGCCGCCAACCGAACTGCCGTCTCAACGGGAGACCAGACTACACACCCCAGGCCAGCTGCCGGCAATCATGCGATATGTTACAGTGGGACATAAGCTTGGAGAAGGGGCGTTTGGTACAGTCCACCAAGCTATCGATGTAGACTCGGGAAATATCATGGCCGTCAAGGTGATCAAACGGCCCAAAGGGTTACAGCAGCAAGCCCACTGGAAGAACTTGTTGAGGCGTGAAATCGAAATACTCTCTCAGTTAAATCATGTAAGCCAGAATTCTTCATTCTATTAGATAACGTAACACTGATGGTTCTACTAGCCTCACATTGTTGATTACATTACGTCGCAACATTGGAATGAGCCGCAGGTAGAAATCTTCATGGGCCTGAAGGAAGGTACTCTACAATCGTTAATCGAGTGTGGATCCTTTCAACCCTTTGTCATTGCCAATATTGTACTTCCGCAAATGCTGCAAGCGCTCGATTGCATTGCATCGAACAGAATCGTTCATCGAGACGTAAAACCAGAGAATATTCTGTATGTCACTGATCCAAACGACCGGTCCCAAATACTTTTCCAGTTAGGAGACTTTGGGCTCGCCAAATACATTGTCGATCCTGCGTCGTTTGCGGGTAGCCGCATTTTCATGGCCCCCGAGATGTTTCAGGGCGGGAGTAACACCACCAAACTAGATATTTGGTCACTCTTTGTCACAATGATGTGGACATTGGACACGCAGGGGTTCCGACAGAACCAAACCTATTACCAGAGCCAACCTGAAACGACTGTTCAACGGTTAGTTGAACGTGTAGCCTCTTCCGATCTAACATCGATCAAGGAAATGGCAATGTTCAAACCGGAAGAACGTGCTACTGCAGCAGAGATGCTAATCAAGATTTCCAAATATTAGACTGACTTAACCGACTCAGATCCCGGCTCTCCTATAATTCATTCACCCGCGATTGATAGGAGAGTATTGTGGTGTAGCAGGGTTGGTGAAGCTATTCGGGAATCATGTGTATGGGAAAAGGCACTAGTCAGGGTGTAGATAGATCGATGATGGCTGCCGAGAGAGATCGAGGCATGATCCAACTACCTCTAGAGGCCTATCGACAGAGGAAAATATATACTTATCTGCTTCTCCACAGATTGCGATTCTAAGACTAAGCTGTGAATTTGACTTATCATGTTCTATTTAGTATCGTTATGAATCACTCTGTGCTTTAGTCTGTTGGCCTGTGTAGACATATATATTTTAGTTTAGCCCTATTCTCACAACAAAAACCTGCTCCGCTGACAAAGTACAAGCGTCTTGTCTGATACAACTTCGTCCAATCTGGTCTTCCGGAGAAAACTGGCATTCAGATATCCCGGTAGAGTAGTGTGCGCGCGAAACATTCAAACAAACTGCAAGAGCCCAAATAGCAGGAGAAGAAAGCGAAACATCATTACAGAGGCATCCCAAGAGAGCCTATAACAGAAATTGCTCTCGTCGCTTTTGGATGTTTTTTAGTATAGAACATAATATCAATCTTAGTCTCATCTACCTTAGGGACGAAGAAATTACTTTCTCATACTTCAACGGTGCCGATGAGAGGATAGATTCACCATTATTCTTTGCTGTAAGTAACTAAGTAACAATTGTAATCTAGGCTACGCTCACAGTCTGGGACGACAACCTAAAGAACACACATAGATTAATCAAACCTCAGATCTGAAAGCTGAGAGAGGATGGGAGCAATAAGATTTTGACCCGACACTAATTCCATATTTAAGCTGACATGGTGCTGTTCAAGGCTACGAAATTACACGGCAACGTCGTTGCCGCTGCTGTGCATTTTATCTCCTACATGATGTATGGCGATATCGTCACTAAGTCCTCAATGAACGCAGCCAATAAAGTTATGTCTAGACTTCTCCCATTATTATCGATTACCAAAAACGTCATACTTGATACCCTCGTCCGTAATAAATGTACCACCTCTGGCGCTATATTGAACGACATCAGCAATGCTTTTCTTTGCAATTGGGAGGCAGGCTCCATTTAGGACAGAATTGAGATGAGCTCATTTCGAATCTGCTGGAAGCCGAAACCAGAAGACAAAAAAGACAACACCCACACAATAAACTGCAAATCCGGAATTCGAATCCAGCACTCATTCGCAATCTTCTCCACCACGCTGAAGCACTCGCCCATATCGAGTGTCCTGTTCTGATGCCCTGTCGCCGTGACGACCAGCGCGTCGTACTTTTCGCCAGTGTCGTACGGAAGCGGCTTCTCACACGCCATCCTGCACGAATGGTGTAGATGTCCCTGGAACGCAGCGACAGACGTGGGCGTGCGGCTATCGCTGCAGGTGAGGGTCCCATTTACGTACTTGGTCGGTTGCTCGTAATCTCTGCAGTCTGCACGGGCCTGAGGGATCAGTGCTAGGATGCATAGTGCGTAGAGTGAGGTAGGGAGATGCATCGTGTGCGGTGGTTTTTGTTGGTTTTTTCTTGGGATGTTTCTTTTCTGACTTGATGATAATCAACAATACACAAACCTATTCTCCCTAAAAAAATGACTTGCAGTGATTAAGAAATTCTGCGCGCTCTTATATAAGTCTTGTACGGTTCCTGTCTGGTCGGAACTTGAGTCTGCATTTGGATTCATCTAGCCACGCTGTGTTGCCAAGAGGGTGAGTATATTTCCGGCAATACACGCAACCTTGCACGAAACCTTCCCATTGAAGGCTCGATATTGAGGCATTGGAAATTGAGAAGTGCGTTTTGATGGAGATATGTTCGTCGCAGTTGTAGAACTGCTGCCCGGGCGTTGTTTGATTCTTATATGTTTCCTCTCAGCGAACTTCAGGTGATCCATGGAAAATCCATTGCGACGTTACAATGCCAGTGAGCGGCGTGTTGCAACATGGCAAGTATAGGACGCCTGGGCTGCTATGGTCGCGCTCAGAGTATGCCGAATAGATTAATGAACACGACCCTAAATTGCAATGCGACAAGAATAGAAAACATATATTGTGGTGTAGTAGGATAGATGAGGCTATTCGGGGATTACGTGGATGAGGAAAGGCACTAGGTAGGGCATAGATAGATCGATCAGGGCTGCCGAAAGAGTTCGAGGCATCATCCACCTACCACCCGAGGCCTATCGACAGAGTCAAATATCTACTTTTCCCACCTATCCACTGATTGCGGGTCGTGCCTGTGATGCTCCCTACTACAGAGGCGTCTATACGCGACAATACGTGATGAGGCAACCCGTTTGCTCGGTATATCGCAAGGCGGCGGTACCGTACGGTTGACAGATAAAGGGTTAAGCGGCCTCGTGCATTTTGTTTTCGATTTCGATTTCGATGGTTTTATAGTTCGACATTCAGAAGAAAAAGATGAATGTGCATGCTTGCTTTACTAAATACTAATCGCCTAAATACAGACTCGACAGGTATTTATCCCCGCCGCATCCGATCCCATCGTCACGGCTATCCAGCTCTTCAACGCCCATCACGCCCTGTTACAATCTGCCAATCGATTTATTTCGCATCACACTTTCCATTTCCAGCTTTCGCTTATTTACAGTATTAATGCGCGAGCTTCTTTTGGATATGATCGAACCATAAAAACAAGGGACGGTACCAAATGGGAATCGCCTAATCACTTCAGTCTTGCTAACATCTGGTTCAGATCACCAAACCGATTCAAATAACGAGCAGCACGTCTGCTGTGATGAACATACGATTCCCTATTACCTATTGTATGGAAGTGGATCTATTTCAGGGTTGTTGCCTTCGTGGTGCGTGTCCTAAAGCTTATCCTCCCAGATCGCTATGTCCTCTTGGACAAAAGCAATTTATCTGTCGTGACCAGGTCAAAATTCACGGATTAGCCAAGGATGGACATCACAAGATCACTTATGGTTGGGGAGACCTCCCTCGCTGTCGCCATGAAACATCAGAGGGCGCATTCTTCTATGGTGGACGGAAGACACGCTCGAATGGCTATTTGGATTGATTCTAGTTTGACTTTGGTTTGTATACCTGACAGATGCTCCCCGCTTCAAGGCTACTATCAGGACTGATATCAGTGTCTTAACTGCGAAGTCGTGAGAGGCGCCCTCGAACGTAACATCTCCATCTATAACGGACGTCTATTGCCTGGCCAAGGCGCTTGCGAACACCTTTCACCTCGTAGGTACCATCAAGACTGGTCGAATCTTATCTACCGTCGTGCTTCGTGCAACATAGTCGGAGACAAGCAAGTATGAAGGCATCCAGCCATCTACTCTATTATATCCTTCTGAGACCACGCTCCACTCGAACTTGTCTAACTGCTTCTGCATGAGTCGGCTGGCCTCCGAATAACGGTTGTTGGCCGCATGCAATTGAGGAAGGCCCCCCATCTTGATAGATTCGACTATAGGGTGCTTTGTGTTGCCATGCACATATTATTGGTTCGAGAGATTGATGATAACGTCTTGTCTTCGATTGTTGCCATGAGGATATGCCGTGAGGATATTCACAAGCTGAGCAGATGCTGTCAGATCCGCACGACTATCCTCTCTCCACTTCAGGACAATTGTCTTTTCGCAACGATCCGATTATATATTCATCGACGGCATTCCCAGTGATGCTTTTGCGGGGTATATTGACTGGTCTACCATCTTTTCGTTTATGTCTCGTCCTTGTTAACTTTACTGTAGTATTCTGCAATTGCCACACTGTTCTCGACGACGCGCAAATCACTGATGCGGAAATATATTGCCTCGACATCGCCAGCTTGGTCCACTGCAATTACCTGCCGAACTACTTGTTCGTTTGTTTCCGCATCTAATGTTGTGAGTTAGTTGTCTGTTTCATAGGAAGGTGAATCATCGCGAACTCACTTATGTGATTCGCGATGATTGCCCGATCCCTTACACCCTTGTTCACCTGTATGAAGACTCTCAATACACGCTTTCCACTTCTTTGCCTTCTTTGCCTTCTTTGCCTTCTTTGCCTTCTTTTCCTTTTTTCCACTCCTATCTACTCTCATCCTCTCCCTCATCGTCCTACGTCTACTTCCTCAATACCGTCTCGAAATCCATATGTAATCGAAACTTGACGTCCTTTCACAGGTCTGCAGAAGCAAATATCAGTGCACACAAAGTACAACATCGAAGCTGTTTCCTCTTTGCTTCTGCAGACAAGAAGCACTCGACGCCATGGCTGTTGACCATATAGTCCGACGCCGCTTGCCATTCTACGAGCTGGTCCAGAGGGATGTTATATGTGAAAGGTAGCAAAGATTCCACGTGGAGATTGAATGTTGCCATCCTCATCAGCATCGTTATCGTCTTCGCAATCATCGTTGTCGTCTTCGCAATCATCGTTGTCGTCTTCGCAATCATCGTTGTCGTCTTCGCAATCATCGTTGTCGTCTTCGCAATCATCGTTGTCGGTCTCTGTGTCATCCCTCTATTGACTGAGGTGTTACGATCAGTTTAGGTTCCTTCAGAGAAGCAGAGGTGGCCGAAACCGAGGTATGGGCATGCGCCTTATCTTTGTATCGACGTCATCCTACAATCGTTCCCAAGCTGACTTAACTAGACATGTCTCAATTCTTTGTTGTTACGGCTTTTCGAATGCCACGCTTTCGTAATCCTCGCTTCGTCGTCTGAGATTGGTTTCAGCCATCCGTCTCTGTTCTTCGATCTCGCCGCGTTCGTTGAGGCTAGAAGTTGGAAGACATGACGAATGCTGCCCCAGGCGCATTTGAAATCAAACCAGTGGTAGCTAGCTGAGCTAGTAATAGGTGGAGATTGTGTTTTTCGGATTCCATGCGAAGAGAGCGTCCCACCTGTCGCTCCTCTTCAATTTCTGGAGTGCACATTCCTGCTCTCCGTGTGGGGCTCCTATTGCTTCAGAGTCCCTGCAACGCGATACAATCTTCATGATAGTTGAGATTCTCATGCTTCGTTATTGTGGCATTAGACTCGTGCGTTCCTGGTCTGTATCGTCCTTGGATGGTTTGCGCTTCGTTCTTTAACAAGGCTTTGGCTTGGGCGGCAGTGGTACTTGCCCTAATGAGCAGGTGCTTATGTGGTTCCTAACTTGTGGAGCGTTTGTAGTTGACATCGCACTGATAGCGTGTGCTTCGTCCCCTATGGAGGCATTCACTAAAGTGAGTGGCAGCATGATGTTCTAATTGCTCATGGTATCGCGTCCGTCGCGCGTCTGTCGCGCGTTCGTGGTCGTGGTCGCTATCACCATAAGATGATCTGCGCTTTCTCATGAAAGCATCATTCGCTCGGGCAATTCTGTTGTCAAGCATGCCCCGTGGTATTAGCCTTGTCGCGCGTTCGTGGCTGGCATCGTCGTATTGACTTCATCACTCATTCATGGTCCATATTGATGTTGTATCTTTCTGCGCTTCGTCGTTTGAGAAGAGTTTTGCTCGAGTAAGGATACGACTTTGACGATCGATGATGACGATGCTGATTCTTCACCCTGATCAAGTCAGTCTTTCTGTATGTCACACTGCTAACATAACAGTATACTCACATCAAAAAGGAAAGAAGCCTAGCCATTGTCAATAGCCCCACACACGTCCGAAGACAGTGTGCTGTTCCATGATGGAACATCCCCTCTATTGACGATCCCATGTTTCCAAAGATGCCCCTCTGTGCGGAGCATCAGGGCGAATCCCACCCACCCTCCCTCAGAAGCCCAGACCTGCCGTTCAAAACCCTCATTCGACGGCGGTTGCTGGGGCGGAGGGTGGGTCGGCTTCCCTTACAGGTCTTTGAAATTCTGCAGGCGAAGCAAAATCACTGGCACATCCTTCTACCGGACAGCAAGCACTAAATTGAGTGTCTCGGTTAGATAGAAATGAGGGAACATGTGTCAAGGTATGAGAGTCAAGTGCGCCCTTTTGTATCCCGATCTTGGACTGCCTCATCTACTTGAACCACGACTTCGGGTGTCTCAAAATATACCGAGCCTCCGCCGTCACTGAAGTCGGCCCCGGCAGATTGACTGAGCACCTTATCGACTGTGTGGCAGGACGTGCCCTTGTATTTGGTCTTGTGCTGGGACACTGCCTCCTTTCGAACGATGGGAGATTGTGATCGGTCATCACTTTGTGGAGGAGCTCTGCGGTCTTGGTGATGTGAAATGCGCTGAGTCTCGGAAATTTTGGTCTTTGGATCTGACCGGGTCCAGGAATCGGCTTCTCTGATCGATTTCACGCTACTAGGGGAATTTGGCCTGCGGCGATCGTCTGTCTGCGAATACTTGCGAGATCGGCGAGATCGGGAGTCTGACCTCGACCGGTTCCTGTAACGGTCTCGGGAAATCGATCTGGTCCGGCTCCTGTAGCGAACCCGCTCCCGCGAACGATCGCGAGAACCTCCGCGACCCCTATAGGA